AGATATATCAGTTTCATTTTTTTTTTAAAGATTTTATTTATTTTATTTTTTCCCCCCAAAGCCCCAGTGGGTAGTTGTATGTCGTAGCTGCACATCCTTCTAGTTGCTGTATGTGGGACTCGGCCTCAGGATGAACGGAGAAGTGGTGCCTCGATGCGCACCCGGGATCCGAACCCGGGCCACCAGCATCGCAGCGCGCGCACTTAACCACCAAGCCACAGGGCCGGCCCTCAGTTTCATTTTTGTATGAACTTTTAATCTTGGTCTATTGATCTATTTGCTTATTTATTTGCCAAACCCAAGCTACTGTTTAATTTTATTTAGAGCTTTCACAGTATCAGGATGATTATGTTTATCAACTTTAATACACTTAAAGTAAGTATGTTAATAGATATTCTAATTTAAACTCTTTAAATTTTTATTATATTACATATATTTTTCTTATGTATTATGCTATTATTGTTTATCATTGCTTAATTCATTTACTTATAATTTACTTTGGGTTTTTGCATCTGTGTGCAGAAATGACATTGGCTTGTAAATTTTCTTTATTGGGTTAGTCCTGTCCAGCTTGTGTTTCTGTCCTGCTTGGATACTCATCTTCGCCAATTTTATGGAGCAGTTTACATACTTTGGAGCGTTTTTACTGAAATCTGTTATATATTACCCATAAAGTCATCTGAGCATGATATTTTTATTTGGTTATGGGTATTTGAGTATTTTTACAATACATTGTCACGTTATTGATCTAATCAACTTACTTTTCTACTTCTGTTTGAGCCAATTTTGATAACTGTGTAGTTATCAAAATTATTTATGTAGCTTGTGTCTAGTATTTATTTTAATTAAAAAATAATCTTGGGGCTGGCCCAGTGGCAGTGTTTAGGTTCATATGCCCTGCTTCAGTGGCCCAGGGTTCGTGGGTTCAGATCCCAGGTGTGGACCTACATACCACTCATCAAGCCATGCTATGGTGGCATCCCACATACAAAGTAGAGGAAGATTGGAACAGATGTTAGCTCAGCGACAGTCTTCCTCAAGCAAAAAAAGGAAGATTGGCAATAGACATTAGCTCAGGGCCGATCTTTCTCACCAAAATAAAAAAAAAGAAAAAACAAACCTCAATAGCTGTTATTTTCCTGTTTTTCTTCGTAATGTTATTTATGCTTTCTTGGTCAAATCTGACAAAGATTATTATAGTTTAATTAACTATAGTTTATTAATTAAGCTTTTGACATTATTCTTCAACTTATTTATTTTTTATATTTCCGACTTTATTAATTTCTTTCTAAAATTCTGTATAAACTCCTCTTAATGTGTTCTTCTTTTAAATTCTTGATTTGAAAGCTTAATTAATTGTGATTAAAAATAGAAACATTTAAGACTATACATTTTCCTCTGAGAACTGTTTTGCTATATCTTGCAGCATTTTGTATTTAGTTCTTTTAGTGTTCATCATCTCTAAATAGCGTAAGAGAGTGTTTTGTTTTCTTCTTTGACCAAAGAGTTATTTAAAAATGGAGTGTATCAATTAAAGATAATGAAATTTCGTTGGCATAGGCGTAGGGCAAAGTTTAAAACAAAACTTTTTATTTTAAAAGGGTTTTAGATTTACAGAAAAGTTGCAAAGATAGCACAGAGGGTTCCAGTATACCCCACGTCTAGTTTCCACTATTGTTAACGTCTTCCACTAGTGTGATGCATTTGTCACAGTTAAAGAAAAAATAATGATACATAATTATTAACTAAAATGCGTACTTCACTCAGATTTCTTTAGCCAGGAGCACAGCCAAGCCTCTTCAAATCAAGCTTTATCCTCAGATGTGCTTGACTGACTTCATCTCCTGCTTGCTGTTGGCCTGACCAAGGTGGGGAGTGACAGGGAGGGGCTGAGCACCTGGCCACTCCTGCTGAGATACCCAAATTAATCCTCCCACTTGCTCTGGGCCACCTCTAGGCACACAGCTATCTGGATGCTGCATTATGTTTTGTAGCAGTCATCTTCTGGAATGTTGTTTCCTCCAATAGGATTTATTTTTCTATTTTCCCTCTTTCAGAGCTTCCTTTTTCTCGTTTACTGTGGACTCTGTTTTCCAGTGCAGTTATGGGTGTCATAATTTATTTTTATACAATTTCTGCCGTTTCTAGAGATTTGAATTGGGAATGGGGAAACTACTGTATATTCTTCTCTTGAACCCACCATACATTTTAAATGTGTGTTTGTCTATAATGCGACAATATTTAAAGATTTATTTTGAAGTTTTTACGCAGAAATGAGATGTGATATAAATAAACAATTTGGTTTCTAGATCACTTCTTAGAAAACTCACAATATCGCTGAACACAAGCCAGAGTACATTTTATGTAAACCATTATGACTCTGTCTTTATTAGAAAAATGCATTCCATAGAATATGGCAATTTATATTTCATTGTTTTCTCTTCTGTTATTTTTGCCGTGTGGCTACACATTATACTTGGTCTCATCTTCCAAAAATGAAACTTTTAAAGGGGTTAAATTTCCAAGATTTTAGACGTCACAAAGCAGTAAAATTTCCAAAATAAATCTGAGAAATTATGAGCAATTATAAGAAACTGTGGGTATCACAGTTATTTCATAAAGTAAGGGCAATTGAGCACCAAATATAGAACAGACACATAAAGGAATATAGGACATTTCTCCCAAGTTCGTGATAGCTTCATCGCAGACTGGCATCCTTCCGAGCGGGCAGTTAGGACCCCTTGGTCTAGTACATGGGGGAGACCTTGTTCAGAGGTAAGAAGCGGCTGTAGGTGGTTCACATTTGGGAGCCTCCGCTCCCTTTTCCCATCCTCTTTCCCACTCGCCCCAACCTGGCTTTCCTAGGAGGCAAAAATTCTGCCTTACTCCATTTCTTCTGAAATTGGCCTTTCCTCAAAGTGTGATTAGATCTCATTCCAATTTGTGCTTGGGAGGGAAGAGGTCTTTCTGAACTTAGTGGAAGTTCTGGTATCTCCAGACTTCTATTATCATTGGGGACAACATGGTCATTGTCCCCCTTGAAGGACATTCAGGTCTCACATCTCTTCACTTCTGGCCCATCTAAAGGAGGAAGAAAATTAGTTTCCTTTCAGGTAGGATGACCAACCCTCCCAGTGTGCCCAGGACTGGGGGTTCCCAGGATGCAGGACTTTTAGTACTAAAACCAGGAAAGTCCTGGGCAAACAGGGATGAGTTGGCCATTCTACCCAGGTGTCCCACCAGGTTCTGTAGAGGGGGCATAGCCTGCCTAGCCAGCTCTCCCCCTACTCCCTTATTTGAGCCCTCATTTTTGCACCATCTCTCAGTATTAATCTCCATGCATAGAGTGGGGGAAAGGCAAATAGAAATAGTGGCAAAAGTATTTATGACTTAATATTAAAAACTACTTTTATAATTTTCATTAGCTTTTCATTTCTGGCATGCTGGGGGATCACTGAAAATCCCAGGTGCTTCTGAAAGAGCCCAGTTGGGTGAAGACACTAGAGTTATGTGTCCTGAGATGAATATACGTCAAAAGTCAATAGCTACACCGAAGTGAAATCTGGAAGGTCAGAGTTGCTATATTTCTTGGGGCTTATTATATGCTGATGAGTCTCTGTCCCCTTCTGTCTCTCCCTCTGCTTCTAGAGCTTCCCCTCCTCCTTCATTGTCTTCTCTCCCTCTCCCTTTCTTCTTCTCACTATTTTCTTCCATGTCTTCCCCTTCCTCTCCAGTTTACTCTCTCTCTCCTTTATTCTAAAGGTCCACAGAGAAGAGAAATTCCCTGAGAAGGTATCCTTCTTGTGGACTGTTACTAACATCCCTAAAGAATATTGAAGGATCTTTTACATGAAAAGAGTCTCCATAGACCATATCTTTTGAGGTAAGGAAATAAAAAAAACCACCTGTGCTATTTTCTGCACATTCCTGATTCCACTGAGGAAGGCTTTGGGGATCCTTCTTTGAGGGCCTTCTCCAGAGCTGGGTGCCAACCTGGCTCAACAGAGATACAGGGTTTGGGTGTCCCGTGACGATATCATTCACTCTCTTCTCTCCTTCATCTTCCTTTTTTTCCCCATGTGGCTGGCATTTGCTCCCTTCCATGCCAGAAGGATAACCATACAGAGACCTAGAAATCTCCTCTGCAGGGATGCCAGGAGACAACCTAATGCTCCTTCAAATGTTATAGGTAAACATCTGTCTCTCTTTCACTCCTGCACTAAAACCTGCCCCCTCCCCTAGCTGTGGTTGTCTAATTCTCAACATGACTACAACACAGGAACAAAGCAATCTCCATATTAATAGAAACACCCACTTTTGAAAGGATTCAGAAGTATGTGGCGTATTATGGAGAGCCTTTTGGTTTATTACTGAGAATTGCTTTAGTAAATTCTTTTATTTTTTGCTTCTAAATATTTGCTTCCCCCCGCCCCCCACTTTTCCCACCTGCCATATTTTTTTCCCTTGCCTATAGTCACTGCCTGATACTTTGACTTGAAATGTAAGGACCTTTCACCTCCACTCCCTCAGAGTTGGACTGATGTCCACGTGCTTCACTTCTCTATATGGATCACTATTTGGGAGGAATTGTGAAACTTGTAGCTTCTTTTTGAAATTCTCCTCAGATTTCAGTGACCCCTCTCTCTGTACCCCAATTCCAATTCTTCGATGTGGCTGCCTTTCATTTCTTTTCAGATCAGTTTTGGTGTGCGGGTATGGAAGAGGTGCAACTATTTTCAGAATTGTCTGAATATAATATTTATGGAAACAAATAACCAAGCATGCTATAGAATTCCTGAAATCTGCTCTGAGGACTAGACTTCTGAGCCTTTGATCATGGACATAAACAGAAGTATAAAGTAGGACTGAAAGAGATTGTCATCAAAAATAAAAAAGATCAACTTGGAAGAAGGTAAAAGCAATACATCAGGTTTATGTTACCAGGTTTTTTAGCTTAGGTGTCAGTAAGAATCTTAACCTAACTAAAGAACATTTCTTAGACTATCTGTTGTGCTATTTTGGGCTAAGTTATTTTGAAGATGCTTTATTATCTGAGTTTGGCTCTCTATAAGCATGTTGCTTTTGTTGTCATACCTTTTGGCCTTTTAGATTTTCTAATTATTGATGCTCTTAGAGGGAATAAAAAGATGCTGTACACCTGTCTGCCCAGTGAAAAGCAGATGGCACATTCAAAAAGGGTGATTAACTTAACGAAGAGACTATTTACAAGTTGTGGGCAGGGTGAAGGGAAACCAGCAATATATAATGAAATAATCCAGGGTGGGCAATAGCAGGAGGCTGTCACCACCCCAAGGACTGAAGGCCAATAAGAGTAATTGTTACTAGTACTAATGAAAGCTGTAGTTGTAGAGGGTTTGTCTGGCAGGGTAGCCTTTGGTAGAAGAACACGGCCACTCCCAAATTGTGGAGCTGGTGAGAAGGATACAGGGGAATAGAAACCACCTTTCCTTCCTTCTCCCTGACTTCCTGTAAGTGCCTCCAATTGACCAAACTCATCAGAGATTGGAAGACAAGCGAGCATCATTGATGCTGTTCACAGAGGTCAACTTCGAAAAGTACAAAACAGGGTAGAGAGGATGGAGAGTGGTTTAGAGACTATTTCAGTACACAATCAAGAAAAAACGTTGGCAAAAACATCTAGTTCCTCATCAGAAGCTTCTTATTAGACCTATATCTTGATGTTCACTTACAAAGAAGACATTTTTCTTAGGCTTAGAATTATATGTGATAAGTTGAACAGTTCTCTGCCTACTCCTGGGCCTTAGGAAGTGGTTCTTGTTTTTTTCACATTAATTTCATGGGAAAAAGATTACAATATAAACCAACACAGGAAGGAGTGAATGCTGGGTTAGAGAAATAAAGCAGCAACTTCAGGGCCCTGTCAAGATGATAAATTCGAGCTGGCTGCTTTCTCTCTCCTCCACAATTAGCCTAGGGAAGGCTGTTGAAGTATGAGAGAAACTTGGACACCTGGAACCAGCACTGACCACAACAAGCCTGACAGCTGCCTTGAACGAGTGAATGTTTGTGTGTGTATGTGTGTGTGTATGTGTGTATGTGTTGGGAGGCTCTGGGTAGGTGAAGTCTGGAACACAGGATGGCCAGAGACAGCAGGGAGAAAGTAGAGTGGAGGAAGCTTTATGTTTTCTGCTCTTGCTATCTTCCTTGCATTGCCTTGGACAACTTTGCTTGTTCCTTTACTGATGAAACTGGCTACAACAGATGAAGTCACGAGTAACATTGATGCACAACTTCCTGCAGTGGTAAGGACATAAAGAAAACAGGCGTGAATTGACAGGCCACGCTCAAGCATTTGCTTCTCCATTTTTTTCCTTTTTAGCTTCAAAATGAGACTCTACCTCCTCCTTTCAATCCTACTTCTTCCTAAGCACTTAAAATTTGAAACTTTTAAGGTTGCCTGGCAGGCAGACAGTAAACGCAAGGAATCAACAAGGTTTCCATGTCTCTGTGACTCTCTTCCCATCCCTTCCTCTCTCCTTAAACACAGAAGGACTGATGTAGATTGGGGCCTTTCTCACTTCATGTTTTTTTTTATTGAGTATATTTGACATATACCATTGTGTAAATTTAAGGTGTACAATAAATGATACATTTATATATCGTAATATGATTGCCACTGTAGCATCTCTATCACATTATATAGTTATCCTTTCTTTTTAGTGACTGGGATAATTAAGTTTTAGTCTTTAAGTAAGTTTGATGGTTGCAGTACAGTATTGTTGTCTATATTCATTATACTGTGCATTAGATGGCTTATTTACTACTTGTGGCAAGTTTGTACCCTTAAACGATATCCATGTTATAACACATATCACTAAGTACCTGATACCTTCCTCTGAACATGATCCCACAGGCTAACCTAATTAGACCTCCGGGGAGAACAATAACTCTACAAAGACAACACATTGAACAATATATTTAATCAGAAGCACAATTGTTTGAACAGACTAGCAGAAGATTTAAAATAATGAATCTACTTAAAGAAGTAACGAAATATTATAAGAATGTCCAAGAAAAAAATAGAAAGTGGATACTTTATGCATGAAAAATGTAGGATATGAAATAACACTATAATTAATATAAATAATAGAATGCGTACAGCTAAAGAATAAGTCAATGAATTGAAAGATCACGTTGAGCAGCATCTCAGAAAACAGCAAAGAAGAAGAAAGTCATAGAAAGTGTAATAGAAATGCTAAACATATGGAGGATTTAAATAGATATTCAACATCTAAATAATAGTGTTCTGGAAGGAATTTTAAATAATGGAAAGTGGGAAGAATCTTTACAAATAAAGAAAAATGAAGACCATCAATTGGAAGGGATTTTAGCGTGCTCAGTTAGGGAAATGATGAAAACCTATACCTAGACACATTATATTGAAATTCAAGAATATCAAAGATAAACAGAAAATTCTAAAACTTTCTCAGAGAAGGAGAATATTATCTACAAAAAGCAAGAATCATATGACTATTAAACATTTCAACAACAGCTCTGGATGTAAGAAAAAAAAAGGAATTATGTTTTAAAGTATTGAAGGAAAGAACTTTGATTTATATCTTATAACAAGTTAAATTTTCATTTAAATCTGAGAGCTTAATAAAAATAATCTTAAATGTGCTATGCCTCAGGATGATTGCCACTGTAAGTCCCACATTAAAAGCAGTCTGGGGAGAAAAACTTGTATAAGAAGGAAAAAAAAAAAAAAAACCCAAGAGATTCTGCAAGAGATATGAGCAGTAAAGATCAAATCACATAGATAAATATGCATATGATAGAATGGCAAGGAGAAAAGAACAGAAATAGATACCGAACTAAATCTAGACGTGATCAACATGTGAGCAGTGATCAAAACTCCGTGAGATCATGTTGTGTTTTATTAGCGGAAAGATATATATTGATCAGTTTAAGAAATCTGTAAGGAGTACATAAACATAAGTGTGAACATTTAAGTGAAACCACCATCAGAACAAAAATCAGTGTGAAACTTTCTAGTCAGTAAAAGAAAAAAATCTATCCAATGTAAGTAGGAACAAAAAGATATAAGGGAAAGTACAGTAAATGGGAAATGTGAAGTAAAAGATAGTAAAATTATTTTTATGTCCTAATGTAATAGCAACTACAATAAATAAAAGTGGATTGAACTCATCAATTCAATGATAGAGATTTTTCTTACTGGATTTTAGAAAACAGGACCCCAAAATATGTTGTCAACATGAGACAAACAATGAAAAAATGAATGGAAACTTGAAAATAAAAGTAGGGAAGAAAAGATTACCAGGAAATAAGGAATGAAAAGAAAGCTAATGATAAACTGTTAGTGGAGGTTGGGGAAACTAATCCTTTTGGTGTGAAATGTTTGTAATTTTAGATACTTGAATATTTCCTAAAATTACAGGAAATACATTAGGCGTAGGGTTCACAGTTGTGAACAAAATAGTCACTATTTCTGCCCTCATAGAGCTTACAGTTTAAAGGAAGAGAAAGGTGTTAAATAATTAAAAAAACCAATATAGAATTGCACATTGTGATAAAGCTCAAAGGAAAATGATATGTGTGATGCAGGTTACAGCACAGGGAATTGAATTATGGGGTGTATGTTGACGGGGGGAGAGAAGATGATCATAAAAGTCTTCCTTGAGGAAATAATAGTTGAGTTCAGAAGGATGGGCAAGGTCTCTCCAGGTGAAGAAATGTAGAAGAGCATTTCTCATAGATAGGCCAGCATGGGCAAAACCTCTGAGGTGGGAAACTGTTTATTTCAAGAAACAGAAAGAAGGTCAGAGATACTGGATCCCAGAAAGTAAGAGTCGTATTAAATCGTGATGAGAAAAGCAGATTGAAGATAATTCAAAGGCCTGTAAGCCATGGCAAATAGTTTGCATTCTATCCTAAATAAAATGGGAAACCACGGTATAATTTTAATATTGGATGGAGACAGAAACAGGTTTGTATTTTAAAGAGAACATTCTGGCTGCAAGAGACTATGGGAGTGCAAGAGTGAAAACAAAAAATTCAGTTAAGAAGATATTAAAGGTGTCCAGGCAGGAAATTATGGAGGTTTGGATTTAAAGGAATTGGTGGAGATGGAGATAAGTTGATTAGGATATATTTTGGAGATAGAGTTTACAAAAATTGGTGATAGATTGGATGTAGGTGATGAAGATTGGGAGATGAGGGGAATGATTTTTGGGATTCCAGCATGAGCAACAAATGGGCAGAGATGGGAATCATTGCACTAAGCAAAGTTTGGAGAAGGAGAAGACCAAAGATTCAGTTTGGTGCATGTTCAATGTGAAGTACTTGAAGATTGTCAAGTGGAAATTTCAATTAGATAGCTGGAATGTATTAGACTGGAACTCTAGAAATTAGGCATGGCTGGAGACATCGCTTTGAAAGTCACTGAAATATACATGATTCATAGAAACATAAATATGCATGAGATACTTAAGAGTTTAGAGTAACAACAGAAGTGATTTACCCACAGGGAACTCGAACATACAGAAACTGAGTAAAGAAGGAGGAAGCAGCAAAGAGACCTGAAGGAGAGGCTAGAGAAAGGAGAAGAAAACTTGGAGAACTTAGTTTTCCTAAAGTCAAGAGAAGGAAATATTCCACGAGGAAGAGAAGCAGTTAGCCTTACAGGATATTACTGAGAGGTCAAGTAAAGATGGGGACTGTAAAAATGTCCTGGAATTTAGAGACATGGAGGTCATTGGTGACTGTTCTAGTTACGAATGCATAAACCCACCATTTTATTATGCCTCTGGATTCTGTGGGCTAGGAATTCAGACAGGGCACAGTGGGGATGTTTGTCTCTGCCTTACCATGTCTGGGGCTCCACTGGAAAGTCTTGAAGGCTAGGAGTGACTCCATGGCTGGAGTCTGGAACCATCTGCAGGCTTGTACACTACATATTTGTTGCTTGGTCAGAGGGACTGGGACACTAGGACAGCTGACCCAAATGACTACACATGGCCTCTCCTGGTAGCTTGGCTTCCTCACAGAGTGGAGGCTGCAAGGTAAATAAACATCTTCCATGGTAGCTCAGGGCTCCAAGCTATATGTTTTCAGAGAACAAGACAGAAACTGCACCTTTTCTGACCGAATCTTGAAAGTTACCACATTTTTGGTTACAAGTGGGTCATAATCTTGCTCAGATTCAAGGGGAAAGGACATAAACCTTACCTTCCTGCTGGATGAGTGTCAAAATATTTGTGGACATCCTATAAGACCATCACTGGGACTTTGATAACAGTCAGGGGAGAGGAGGACCCAGACTAACAGGAGTTGCAGGGTTAGTAGGATTCATTTGTCACAACTAATGAACAAGAAGAAGTATTCTTCTTCTCTGGCTTTTTCTGAGCCTTCTACCACTCGAGCTTGGCCCCAACACCTGAGCTCGGAGGTTGTTGACCACCCACTGGCATCAAGAAAGTGAGAGGTGCCATTGAGCACAGATTAATTTTATAATAAAAATAAAAACTTAAAATTTGCTTAAATCTGATATAAAGGGGATGCAGATAATAGTAAGGGATTTTAATATCCCTCAAAATTGGGACAGCTTATTTGAGTCTACATTTGGAAACTGTAACTGCACACTTAGCCTTTGAATCAAGCATCTTAAAATATCTCCCACGTAGTTTTTTAAAAATTGAACTACAAACTCTCAGTACAGCAAGTAGAAATGCCTATCACACCCATTTAACAGATGGGGCACAGAGATGGTAAATAACATTTTTGTGGCTTCTTAGTGAGGCTCTGGCAATGTCAAAAATAAAAGCAATACTTGTGATTAATCTGTGTGGTCCTTATATGTGAACAGATGTGCCCATGGAAGGCAATCAAATCCTGCTGTCATAAAGAGTATTATTCTGATTTCCTCAATCATTTTGAGTTCCTTTTCTAACTTTAAATTCTGCTTCACTTTTATGATAACCTTCAAAATTTGCATATACAAAGTATACATTACACTTGTATTTATGTATCATTGAAAGCCTGTGTAGACATAGCTATAAATAGTCAACTAATATCACATCTTGAAAGAATAAGCAGAAATTTGCAACATAATAACTCCATCAACATCTTTAAAATTCAGCATTTTCCTTTCCATTGTTTAGTGAAAGCTCCCAAATCTCAGTTAAATAAGCAAACTTTTTTTTTGTTTGTTTGCCCTAAGATTGATCACAAACTGATTTTCAACTACTGGTGACATTAGCTAAAATTTGGCCCTGGCCAATATTCACTAATTTGTTCTATTCATTCATTCATTTGTTCATTTACTCAACAGTTATGAGTTTCAATGTTTACTTTTTTTTATCTTACCTCTCCTACTTTAAAAAAAAAAACTTTTTAATTTTAGAATAGCTTTAGATTTACAGAAGTTACAAAGGTAATACTCATATACTCACATCCGATTCCCCCATTGTTAACATCTTACATTAGTAGGATTCATTTGTCACAACTAATGAACAAATATGGATGGATTATTATTAACTCAAGTCCATACTTAGTTATTATTAATATATATAATATTAATTATGTACATAATATAATGTTAATATTATATAATATATAATATTATTATATTTCTTAGTTTTTACTTAATGTCATTTTTCTGTCCGGGGGTATCACATTACATTTAGACATCATGTCCCCTTAAGTTTCTCTATACTGTGACGGTTTCTCAGACTTTCCTTATTTTTGATGATCATGATACTTTTGAGGAGTCCTGGTCAGGCATTTTGTAGAATGTTCCTCACTCAGAATTTATCTGATATTTTTCTTGTGACTAGACTGGTTCTGAGGGCGGAAGACTACAGAGGTCAAGTGCCATTCTTATCAAGGACGCATATTATCAACATGACTTACCACTGATGAAGTTGAGCTTAATCACATGGGGTTGGGGTATTGTTTGCTGTGTTTCTCCTCAGTAAAGTTATTCTTTTGTCCTCTTTTCCAGACTATCCTCTTTGGAACGAAGTCACTGCGTGCAGCCCACACTGAAGGAGTGGGGACTTATGCTCCACTTCCATTAGGGGGCAGTATCTACCTCAATCTTTGCCCTGTCTGATGCTCTAAGGAACCAACGTTGATTCAAAAAATGAGATAATTTATATAAAGCACTTAGTACTGTTGCTGTCAAATAGTAGGTTCTCACCACAATTTATTTCTTCCTTCCCCCAAGAAGCTTAAAATATAATAATCCATTTAGAAAAATAATATGATGTGGAATATAAAAGCACAGAATTATATTTTACTTTTAATTATGAACTATTTCAAAATATAGATAATTCTAAAAATTTATATAATGCCCAGACCAAGCAGTTTTAGTAGATCTTCACGTTTTGCTGTATATTCTTAAGATCTCTCTCTAATTTTTAGAAATAAAATATTACTGTGATGGAACCTCCAGAATCTCCTCCCTGACTCCTCGATATCACTGCTTTCTATATAAATAATCTAATTTCCATACATGTGGTTATATTATTTCTATATATCATCTGCGGATTAAGAGACTTTTACTTCTTCATTTCCTGTTCATATGACTTTTAATTGTTTTTTTTTTTCTTTCAAGAAGATAAATTTGAATTCAGTGTTAAATTGATCAGAAAGGGGAGAGACCAGTTAGGAATCAATTTTAAAATCCAGGTTCTAGATAGACAAAGCTATAAGTCAGTTTTCTAACCAGGAAAAGAGAGCATAGATGTGCTTTAAGTTCCTAATTGTTCAGTCTAGGATAAAAGTTAATTGAAGTAAGATGGCTACAGAAAGGAGGAGGAGATACAGCTAGATTTTTACAGATTTTTGATTGGTTGCTGGTTCCCTAAAGGCCATGCTGCTGGGGCAGGAACGGGAGGAATAAATGGGTAAGCCTCCATCCAGGTAGGAGCCTGCCACACCAAGTGAGAAGCTGAATTACTGCTATCACACTGCCCTCATATGATGGGGCTGACATCACTTTTCCTGGAGAATTTGTACTTGCAATCTAGGTGAGTGGATCTCAAATTGTCGTGTGCTTTAGTCACGGAGAGGGGCAGGTAGAGACTTGCAAAACTTCAGATTACTGAGCCCTTCCCCCCAGAGAATCCGACAGTGTGGTGTATTGCCCAGGATCCTGTACTCATCTGATTCCAATTCTTAGGTTCTGAGGACCACACTAATCTAGCACCACACTAATCTAGGTGCTTCTGCTTGAGAGGATGCTTGCATTCATTGAATCCGACGGGTTCTCAAGCTAAACTTAACAGGAGCAAGTCCACATCATTATCTTGAAGGAGAAATCAGAGTCTGTGTCCTGTTGTTCTTGGACAATATCTCTGCTTTTAGTGTCCCCTATTCCTAAAGAAAGCCTATGTCTCTACAAAGTGATACAAATTAGGAGCTGAGCAAAGGCAGTGGGACCAGAAAGAAAGAGCCAAAAAATGACAGCTGTTGTGGAAGCAAAATCTACAGACCATCAAGAGAATGAGAAGACAAGCCACAGAGAAGGAGAAAATATTTGCAAAAGACACATCTGATAAAGGACATTATCCAAAATATACAAAGAACACTTCAAATTCAACAATAAGAAAACAAACAACTCAATTAAAAATTGGGCCAAGGCACTTAACAGACACATCACCAAAGAAGATATACAGATGGCAAATAAACATGTGAAAAGATGCTCCACATCATATGTAATCAGGGAAATGCAAATTAAAACAGAGATACCACTACACATCTACTAGATTGGCCAAAATCCAGAACACTGACAACACCAAATGGATGTGGAGCAATAGGAACTCTCATTCATTGCTGGTGGGAATGCAAAATGGTACAGCCACTTTGGAAAACTGTTTGGCAATTTTTTACAAAACTAAACATACTCCTACCATATGATCCAGCAGTTGCATACTTTGGTGTTTACTCAAGGAAGTTGAGTCCACATAAAAACTTGCACATGGATGTTTATAGCAGTGTTATTCATAATTGCCCAAACTTGGATGCAACCAAGATGTCCTTCAGTAGGTGAATGGATAAACAAATTGTGGTACATCAGGTAATGGAATATTATTCTGCACTAAAAATAAATGAGCTATCAAGCCATGAAAAGACATGGAGGAAACTTAAATGCACATTAATAAATGAAAGAAGCCAATCTGAAAAGTCTACGTACTATATGATTCCAGCTGTATGACATTCTGGAAAAGGTAAAACTATGGAGATAGTAAAAAGATTGGTGGTTACCAGAGGTTAGGGGGAGGAAGGGATGAATAGGTGGAGTGCAGAGGAATTTTAGAGCACTGAAAATGCTCGGTATAATATCATAATGATGGAAACATGTCATTATACATTAAAAAAAAAAAAATCTACAGGCCCTAACAACTTGGCAGCTGACTGATTGTTTGTGGGAACTGGAAGGGAAATATCAAAGATGAGACTGAATTTGCTGGCCTTGTAACTGGAAGAGTGCTAGCCCACCGGAAGTACAAAACTCTATATTTTTTAAATTTTAAAATGCTATGCAATTGGAAGTTATCATTTAGCTGTAAAACATGTAAGCACAAAACCCGCTGCTATTGCTGTGAGCTGAAATTTCCCATAAAAGCAATTTCTTATCCCACAATTTGTTTTAGAGAGATTTCTGAGTCTCTTAGGGTGAAAACAATATTTGATAGCAGTGAAATAGATGAGATGAATTGAATTATAATTTAATATGTATGATTTTAAATTCACATTTTGAAGGATGACCTATATCATTTTATTAACAAAGTGGCAAAACTAGACTTAACATTTTCTGATGCCACTAAATATACACTTGTTTTTCAAATAATGGGTGATTCCTTAAGGAAGAAGAGAGAGAGAGAATGTGTTTGTATCAGGGGTTGGGTGTTCATAGAGAAGGAATGACTTTTAGATTTGTATTCATTTAGCCCTTAGCAGGTAAGTTTTAAAGTTCTCCCTAAAGAAGGTAAATTAAGGAAATTGAGAGCTAACTGTCTTCAAGAATTTAAGATGGCCAGAAGGAAATAAATTTTCACAGCTAAAACAACAAAGTACTCTGGTTTCCATTGTTAACATTCACTCTGCATTTTATTCTTTTTCCCCCTAGATTGTTCGATTAAGAGGAAAGCTATTTAGAATGTTGAAGAACCTTATAAACTCTATTCTACCAGTAACACAAGATCGTGGTTACGGTGACATGTGGCACCGATAAGAATGGCTAATTATGTCAAATTATAGCTTTTAAAATGCCGAATGAGACCTCATTTCAGTTTCAGTCCTGTTCAGGCCTCAGCTGGATTGCTAGTAGAAAACCCACTCTTTAAATTAGATTTGTGCTTTTAACTAGTGGAGGAAGAAAACAGACTGTGTGCTGCGAAGGGATGTGGGTTAATGTTAGATATGTGGCATAACCTTTTACAGACATCCAAG